CCAGTTCCAAGTTTTAATATCCTCTACGGCTCTGATCAACGTGTCACTAATACATTGAGCTTCTGGAGGTCTAGAAAATGTACCTCTACCATCATCAACAAAGAAAGTCGAAAAGCATCAGAGTCTGATAGGCCCTCCATGTGGTCAAACTGCCTAACCATGTCAGAAATCTTCAGATGTGTAAGGTCCGGTGTTAAAGGTCTTGTTGCGACTAGAAACACCCAACGGATGAAACAGTCATCTTGTAACGTATGCAAACTGGTCTACAATCCAAAACGGAGTCCTGTCAAAAGACAAAACTTCACCCGCCCGTAGCGGAGATAGTGCCAACAAATATCGAACCACATCTCGTCTTCTCGTCCATTCTCAGGGACGACCAGAGAATCTCTAGAGTAACATGCCATGGCAATGTCCAATCTTAGACCAAAACAAGTGTCGCAAAAAAGGGCCATCCTCTCAGGATTCAACTTGGCCTAATATCTGATGCGACGAATTCCCGACGCTTGAGCGTCAACGACGCCCAATAAAAATTATGCTACATTCGATCAATTTTTATGATTATAAGGACCAAATTAGTAAGTACATAAGTACGAGGACCAAATATGTAATTACAGAGACCAAATATATACTTACTGTGATTACAACGACAAAATTTGTGATTGTTTTGATTATATAGAAACCTAATCTTTAACTAATCGAATTATAGGGACCTAATTTGAAACTAATCTAATTATAAGGACTTAATCTGTAGTTACTCTAAAAAAGGGGCCAAATTTGTAATTATTTTAAATACAAAGACCACATCTATAATCATTTAAAGTACTGGGACCAAATCTGTAACTAATCTAAGTATAGGCACCAAATCTATAAGTAGTCTAATTATAGGGACCTAATATGTAACTAATCTAATTACAAGGACCTACTATGTAATTAATTACTAAAAAACAGGGACCAAATCTATAGCTATTTTAAATTCATGGACCAAAATGTAATTATTTTAAGTACATGGACCAAATATGTAACTATTCTAAGTATAGGGACAAATTTGTAAATATTCTAATTACAGGGATTTAATCTATAGATACTCTCAATTAAGGGACTAAAATGTAAAATACTATCAAAACATTGTAGGAAAGCAGGAATTAGATAATGCTAGTAGTCTAAATTGCATAACAGGCACGCCATTTTCAAAATCAAAATCCGGGGGCACCAAGAACATAAAAAGTTGACATATAACATATGGTAAAAATTAAGTTATATGCATATAAAATAATAGGGTAAATAAAATAACATAACATGTGTTCAAACTATAAAATTATAGGGTAAAAGAAATAACATAATATGCATTCAAACTACAAAATCATCTACAATATTTAATAAAAACGGTTTATACACGCATAGGTCCGCAAAAACGACACGAATGGAGGTGGTATATTGCGTATGTTGGTGTAAAAAAATAGTCGTTTAACGAGGCCCATAATTTGCAGACGTGGGTTTTTGTAGACGGAGTGCTATTTTGGTAAAATATGGAAGAGAAATAAGAGGTGAAACCACACGATCAAAATGACTATTTTAATTAATTTTTCAAAAGGAAAAAGAAAAAACTTTTTTAAGTAGAATAAAATAGGAAAAGGACAAAAAAGATGAAAAAGACCAAAATGTAGAGGTACATATAGATTGAGTTGATCGAATTAAACAAACAAATTTATATTTATAAATTGAAAAATCTCAATCTAACCCGGTCGGATGGTGGAGGTGTCGTGGAAAAGAGAAAGAGGGATAGGGTTGCGGTTATTAATGAAAGAAAAGAAAAAAAGTAAAGACTCATTTAATTAGAATAAAATAGGAAAAGGACAAAAAAGATGAAAAAGATCACATAGTAGAGTACATATTGGGTTGATCAGGTTGAAGGCATTGAAACAGCTAAATTAATGTTTGGGATTTGAAAAATCTCAATCCAATCCAATCCAACCTAATTCAAACCTTGCATACCATGACATATCAAGAAACTTTTATATTTGGGGGTACACTTAGGGGTGTAGATTTTTAAACCAAATAATTCATCCGGATGAAAACGGTTTTAGGTTCTTCTTTTCGGCTTAGATAGTTCAATTAAACGAATAAGGATAACTTATTCAGGTCGATTTTCAGTCGACTTTTTACTAATTCATCGAGGTGTATAAAATTTATATTTTATATTTCAACCATTTCGTGTGTGCTACAAATGGACCAATTAACAATCAAGATATCAAGTTAGGACCCTTGTGTTGTTCTTGTTGGACGCACAATAGAAAACTTTACTAAACAAATTTTTTTATAGCTTTTTTTCTAAAAGAAATTGGTGGGTTTGTTGGGAGCTTAAGACCCTTACCACATGCACTAGATCCGCCCCTGTTTACGTATCAGATTGAGTTAAGCGATTGGTCAAGGTTGAACTTTGATATATTTTTATATTCTTGTATCTTCATTACCTTAAATATGGTGTTTTATCTTGACATAATTTATTTATTAATCATCAATTAATTGGTACAACTTATTAATACTCCTTTTTAAGTAGATCATGTTTGAGAACCAACAATATACATACATACATGCATACATACATACATACATACATACATACATACATACATACATACATACATACATACATACATTCATACATACATACATACATACATACANATATATATATATATATATAATCACCACGATTACTCATGGTTTCGATAGGCTAGGATTAGACAATCACACATTTATCACAATGATTACTCATGGTTTCGATAGGTTAGGATTAGACAATCACACATTTATCATAACGATTACATGCGAAATCCACTAAACGATTTGGTGTGATATGAGTGTGATAATCATGTGATATCATTATTATAACATCACTTGCACACTCATTTTGATCATGGTTTCGATCGGTTAGGGTTAGACAATCACACATTTATCACAACGATTACTCATGGTTTCGATAGGTTATGGTTACACTCGATTGATCATGATTTCGATAGGTTATGGTTACACGATCACACAATTATCACAGGGGAAGAGAAGAGAGTGGAAACGAACGTGCAACAAAAAAAGGGATGATTATAATTAATTAAAATAAAATAAAAATTATTTTACTATATTAATACCCTTATTAATTTATTTATATTTAATATAAGTTAAATTATGAATTAAAAAAGTTTAAGGTTATTAGGTTGTTCTCGCGTTCTCGTAAATCACAGGGGTTCTCGTTTGAACCTCCACCTATATATATATAGGAGCCCATTCAAGGAAGAACTGACTAGTTGGTGGTAACCGTGATAACCAATTTCAACCACAAATCAATAGATAAATTATAAAATTTATAATTTTGGTAATTTTAAATTAAAATTTTAATGCAAGGACATTTTAGGTATTTTAAAACTCTCATCTCTCCTCTCTTCTCTCTCCGTCCTACGGCTTCCGGCCACTATCCTCCGGTGATACCTAAAAATATTGACTCTGTTAAACAAAAGACACAATGTGATACCCAAACATATATAAAATGCATTGTGATACCATTGTGTTACATCTCCGATTGACCACACTAACGACCTCAGTGTGATACCCAAACACACATATGATGCATTGTGATATCATTGTGGTATCACCGGAGGATGGTGGCCGAAGGACAGGGAGAGAAGAGAGGAGAGATGAGTTTTAAAATACCTAAAATGTCCTTGCATTAAAATTTTAATTCAAAATTACCAAAATTATAAATTTTCTAATTTATCTATTGATTTGTGGTTGAAATTGGATCTCACGGTTACCAAAAACTAATTAGTTCTCATTTGATTAGACCCATATATATACAATAAAATATAGGAGTTATATATAGACGATGAAGAGATTGAAAGTATATGTATATGAAGAGGTTGATGGCTAACGGTCTATTATACATATTAATAAAAGATTTAACAATCATATTAACTACAATAAAAAGAAGGATGTCGGGTTCATCGGGTTAGGTTTAGGTTCAAATGACCATAACCCAATTCCAACAAAAAATACACATGGTTTAAAAAAATTTACAACTCGATATATCATCAGGTGGCTTCGGGTTGGGCTGAGTTGGGTTGGTCAGGTTCATGTTTTTGTGCATCTCTCTCTAGCGAGGTTAATGGACTTTATTAACGGAAGTTAGTTTGAGGGACCAAAAGTGTAACAAAATGACAACTACATTGACTAAAATTGTGATTAGTTCAAAACGAGTACAAGAATTAATAGTGAGTGACAACCATATGGACCAAAAGTGTAATTTACTCATTTATAAATGACAAAATATTAAATAATGCAATGGCATTATGGTAAATCAAAATAAAGAAAACGGTAAAAATAAGTTGGAAAAAGAAAATAAGTATCGGTCTTAACTGAAACCAGTACCTTCTCAACCGGTTCCAAATGCCCATCTCCTCCACCAATATGAATATGAATATGAATATGAATATGAATATGAATATGAATATGATGGCAATTTCGACCAATATTTGCATCACTGAATCCCTTTATGATTTTCACAACCATGCACCTTTGTGATGAACTCATTTCAATTTCTGTAACAAATCCCTGAAAGTATCCTACCATTACCAAATATCAAAACTAATAGTTTTATTAACACCACAGCAAACAAAAGTGTTGCAAATTATTAACTCAACATAAAAATTTAAGTGTTGCAAATTATTAACTCAACACTAGTCCAAACACATGTAATAAAACAAAAAGATGATGAGACATTTAGAACAAGCACTATCAAACTAGTAAGGTAGAAGGCTCAAATATACCCTAAATTAAATCAATGCCTAGATTCATAAAACCTTGGAAATATATAGGATTCAACCACTCTCAACTCATATTTAGCAGCTTCCATATAAAATATAAGTACAAGCTTATGTCAAATTTGTAGGAACAAAATTGAAGGACACAGAAACAAATGTTTTGAGATAGAACATGGAAATAAAAAGAGAGAAGGGAAAAAAATAGATAAACCAATCAAATGCGGTGCGCGTCCAACATGGAGTGTAGGGTCTGGTATGAGTAAAATGTAAGTAGACGTCACCTATACCCGAGGGTAGAGAAGCTATTTTGTAGACCCCAAGCTTTAAAAAAGAAACATGCAAAACAAATTGAGCATAAACACCGTTACCAGCATGATCATCTCTTCGATTCTTTCAGCAACATATCAAGGCTAACCTGAAATAACAGTAGATTCAACTAACATGTTAACAATGATATATTCTGGCTGGTCAATGAGTCACCAACTTTTTTATTCTTTCTTCATATAAGGGCAATGGCAACAAACATTCTTATCTGTAGCAAAATGGATGTTGAGAATATCCCACTGCTTTTTCCAAGAGAATGACAGCAGAACCCAAAAACTTGTTTGGACCTTTGGAAGCAAGAGATGCATGTCTCCAATTGTGGCCCTGGAAAATGTATACGATCCATCAATAACATTCTAAATAACAAGTTTGAACACTAAAAACTTCCGATGTTTGGGGAAAAAACACAAACTAATATGATACAAATAACAGACTTTGAAACCTGCATATATATATATATATATATATATATATATCTCCATCCTTATGTGGATGCATAAGTTATAGGATCACAATGCAAAAGATAATGCTGATCGTTACTCTCTGGTACAACAGTGAGATGATTATGTCCCTGCATCTGTGCTCTTATATAATAATTATTGCCTCTAAATGAAATACGATGATGAAAAGGAGTCAAGGAAACATGAATATAATATCTTGAATACATTCATTTATTCATGTTTTTTGCCTCACAAACTTGTACGCATAATGTACAAAGAACAGAATCATGAAAAGCAAGATGCAGCTGGATATATTCATTTCTTCGTAGATGTTTGTTACATTGGGTCACTAATTACAAAATTCAACTGTGTAGACAATTGTAGATACTTGACAGAAGAAGCTACCGAATGTATATCTCATATCACTTCTTTACAATGTGGCTTAAACGGCGAAAAAAGAGAGAAGAAAAGAACAAACATGTTTATTCACTGCTAATCAAGAAGACCAGCTCCAGCATAAATTAAATGCCGTAACTCTGTCAAATGTTCATCATTTGAAATATGGAGGCTAATGCGAAGGTCGGTCAACAATGCTTCTTTTTCCCAACTTAAGGGCCCAGAAGCAAATAATGCCTCCAAAGTGGAGCAATAAGCATGCAATTCTAACCTATGAATCCTTGCTGCCACTCCCTCTTCAGAAGGAGGGGAACTATTCCCGTCCTCATCTCTTGAAGTACTAAAAGATTCCGTACTGGAAAGAATCTCTGTTTCTTGATGAGTACAAGGAGTAGACCACTTATTTGGACCATCACTAGAAATGCTACAACTACCGACAGAGCACTGGTCATTATCAGAATCATTTGGTTCCGATATTCTTGCAAGAGAACAACCAACAACACCATTTAAATTTCCTTTCTCCAGTTCATTAAATCCATTTACCGTATTGTAAAAGGAGGAGACTTGTGATTTTTTGTAACCCCGAGTTTCTCGTGGGCAATCTAAAGCATCTACCTTTTCCAATGACTGGTCTGTGATGAATCTTCTTCTCTGTTCTTTCTCAGTTGCTTTGAATCTTTTAGCATTTCCAGGAGAAGCTTCAAGATGAGGAGAGCAAAAGGGGGAAGCTCTTTTCAGCGTCTTAGAAGAAAGCACACGAGACTCCTGTAATCCAGCATCATTGTAGACAACTAAGCAATTGTCCTTTTCCTGACAGATTTTTGCATCAGCTACTGGTATCTGTAGGCCTAAGTTTGCGCCACAATCTGGTTCCACCATCTGGTTGACATTCACATCTCCGTAGTTTCCTGAAATCTTTATAATCAAATAGAAGTAATGTTAATTAATAGAACTGTTAGAACTTGGAAAACCAAATGTATGATATAAAAATAAGGATAGGGAATCTGGATAGCATCAAGTAACAGCACCGCAAGAATCCTGACTTACAAAAAAAATCCATTTATGCTGTTTCACAGAAATGTTCTTATATCACATTCAAAAATATTTGACGTATTTAAACATCTATGACCTGGGATCAAAGCAAGAAAGTGATAAAATGCTAGTTTGTCCAAATCAAATTAGAATTATAGAAATCTAGAGTATAAAAATGGAGAGCTAGTACACAAATCTTTATGAAGGAAAGAACCAGAAGATCACTGCAACATGTATGGAACTAGCATCTAATAGGTAAGGTGTGAAATACAAAAAGAATCAACATTTTAAACTACAACTTTCATGATTATACTGGTTAACAGATAAGACAGGAGTTTTTTAATTCAAACAAACAACTTAAATAGACCAAAGTTATCCCTTTCCAAAGGTAATGATCAGCAAATCAATTTGAGTGCTCTAACCAAATCCTCAAAATCTTATTACAAAAAAGAAGATCAAAGAGAATAAAAATAAATAAAATAAAGAGGAATGATGAAAAGTAATTTACCTTTACAATTGGAACCCATTGGCCATCTTGCCAGGACTGTCGAGCCCTGATGTTTGATTTGTGGACATTTATCTCATGAGTGAACCCATGAGGCCTTAATGAAAAATGACCTGCATCCGAAACATTGCACACGGTTGCAGTTTTCCATGAATTATCATCAAACACTTCCACAATATCACCAGCCATCCAACTCTGTAAATCTTTTGCACGAGGAGGACAAGGCCTAATAAACTCCCTAGACACCTTCTCAACACCTGGGTAACAATAGTACCTCAAACTATAAGTATGCCCATTCCTAGAAACAACTTCAGCAACACACCATGATGTAGGCAGCTCCGTCTTGTTCATAACCTCCACTCTGCTCCCCTTTTGGAACTTCATGCTAGGTTAGAAGTTATGAACAAATCACCCGAAACCTGCCACACCTACAAAATTTAGGTATCTCCCATTAAAAACACAAACCCAATTTTATCTAAAGCATGTGGTAAAATAGTGAAACCAACGAAATGAAAAACAAAGTGACCATCTGAAACCAGCCACTGTTGTAACATGTTATTTAGGAAGATGTGTAGTTGATCAAAATCCAAGCTCTAAAAACAAAAATAAATAAATAAAAAGATAACACTATTATTTTAAAATCTCTAAGAAGGTCCAGTTTTCCCAAAAAGATGTCAATTGTTTCATCAAATCCGTAACAAATTTAAGGTACCTCCATTGGTTGCATCTATTTAATCATCACAGATCTTTGGAGATAAAAACCTAGTTGACCCCCAAAATAACCAAATAAATTGATACCAACAAAGGAGAGAAGAACTAAATCACCGATTTTAAGATGATAAGATCATTAACAAGTAATTACACACAAAGAACAGATAACCCACAACAGGATAACAAACAACATAAAGTAAATGAGCATTCTATAAATTCACCACAATGTTCTCAGGACAAAATTATGATAAAATCAAAAAGCTTCAGATATTTAAAATTGAATTAAGAACTACTTTATTTTAATCATCCAAAATCTAAGCTCATTTAGCAAACGAATTAACAAAAACACAAAACAACAATTAGAATAATTAATTACAAATTTTAGACAGTTAAGAAATGCAGCATACAACATGAAAAACCCGAATATCATTTACACAAACAATTGGATCAGCATTACTAAAAATTTGAAGAAATTGGGGAAAAGTGAAACAATAAATGTAACAAAATCACTGACCTTTTTCTTCAAAACCGTGTAGCAGTGGGATTCGACAATCTGTTTTGGGGGTGAATTGATCTTTGATTAAGTAGCGGATCACCGATTTGTGTTTTGTGTGTTCTAGGGTTTGGTAATTTTATTTTTGTTTTACCAAAAATATAACAATTAATTTAATAACTTCGTGGAATATATATTAGGTTGGAGGGTATAAATGTAAATTGAGCAGCGGTTTAAGCCTCAATCCACAAATAAAGGAGAGAGAAGGGTGCGTAATGCGAGGCCTTATTCGTGTAGAGAGAGGTTTGATCTCGATGAATAGCTTCTCTCACACGTTTGTTGGAGCGTGGAAGACATTCTCCTAACGATTTCTATGTAGTTAAAGTTTTACGTTCTCCTAATTACCATCTATGTAGTTAAAGTTTTACGTTCTCCTAATTACCATCTCTTTGGTTTGCAAAATTCTTTGGATTTAATAGAAAAATTTATATTAAAATAGATTTAAAATTATTTGTCTGTTTAATTTATAGGATTTAAAATGGAATTAAATTTCATTACTTATAAACAATTTATAGAAAAAAAATTATAAATAATTATAAAAATAATTGAATTACATTTCTATAAATCGATTATTATAAAACAAATGTTTTTAATATTTTTTAAAACCTTATTACATAGAATCTTGTGAAAGCATTCCCTAAGGATTTCAAAATCTTATAATTAAAGGATTTCAATTAAATCCAAGGATTTCAAATCCCGACAATCTAACAAACCAAATATGGGATTGTAATGGATTTGAAATGCAAATTCACCCAAATCCATTATTCACTGAAACCAAACGAGACCTAAAAAGTTTTTTAAGCGAAAATTGTACTCAACTTTAGCATTATTAAATATAGTATTGATTATAATGAGTCAAAAAACTGTTATTTTTATATCCACCATTAGATCAAAATTAATATTAAATATTAGCCGTTTAAATTGTGTATTTTGCAATTACATATGGATATGCAATCTCTGACCCTAACTTATATGATCTTCCATGGTTAAGTACACAACTCTGAATTCCTCTTAGTCAGAGTTAAGTTCAGAGTTACTTCCCAACCTTACAATACAACTCTGAATTCTTGTGTTTCAGAGTTAATGTCCAGAGTTTTCTTCCACCCCTGAGGAAAAGTCTCAACACATTAAAAATACCCTTTGTAATACACAGAGTTAGAAGAAAACTCTGACATCTTCACCACCACACTAATAAGACGTCATTAGGGGTGAGCAGCGGAACCGGGTACCCACTTGCACAACCGAAACTGCCTTGGAACCGCCTGTTCCAGACCGGAACCGATATAAGTGGTTCCGCTTCCGGTTCCTAAAATACGGAATCGATTGAGAATGGTTTCGGTTCCAGTTTTCAATTTTTCGGAACCGTTACCTGCCGGGGTAGGTTCTAAGACCGGGTACCCGGAACCGGCGGGTACCCGTTATTTTTCAATTAAAAAAATAATTAATTTTTGAATACTAAATTTAATTAGGTCACGAACTTAAAACTCTAGATTAGATTTTTGGTCCCACCTCTACGCCTCATCGACTCATACTTTCAAACCTGAGGCCTCTCACAGACCGTCTTCATCGAATCATCACAGTCACGCCAAATCTCTGTCAATGTTCTACAAAAATGGGTGCCTGTTAATCCCGAAGGGAAAGACAATAAACAAAAAGTAATTGTAGAAGGGGGGTTGAATACAATTACACAGAGTTTTTTTTCAACTTTTTAATTCTTATTGATTTATATCAAGAATTAATACACACAGAAATACAAAAGATTGTTGCGGAAGATAGGAAAGGAAAACCTAACCTAAACAATCTTACAAGGAGAAGAACTTTCAAGAACAACACAAAGAGTTCTTGAAAGGAAATGAAGAACACTAACAATTTCTTCGCACACAGGAGAGCAAGGGAGTAGAAGAGAATAGTCGATTGCTTTGAGAGAGCACTAAGTAATCTTGCAAAAGCCAGTTGTGTGCAGGGGAGATGCACACTACCTTTTTATACTACCTTCAGCATTTAATGCATGGGGACACTTGTCACTTGAGGATAAGAAGGCAGGGGTTGACTTGACCAATGTTGATATCTTATTTTCATCGTACACAACATGCATACAACACAGTTCATGCAGAGACAAACTTACACAGTT